AAGGGAGAGCTTGTTTTAAGCGTTTTTGGCAGTGTGGTTTTTGAGTAGCAGTGTCTTGGGAAGGGTGTTTACAGGTAATTGATTCCCAGGCTGTGGTTCATAAGCCTGGCTTGGGTGTGCAGGTGGGGACCGAGTGGCACATTTTACTTGGGTTTGGAAATATGAGAACCTATTGGGAAGGGACTTCCGTACTGCGGTCTTGCTGCAGCTAAATACTGAGATGAAGGCAGTATGTCTAAGTCAAGCATACTTGACTTACTGGAATACCGGAAGCAGCCGCATCATAGTTTGGAATATAGGCAACCTTTGGCCTTTTTTTTTTTTTTAACCGTAGTTTTTATGAAAGAGTTTAGGAATTATATTTTGAAGTCTTATTTTTGTGGTCCCTATAGACGAAAGAGATGAAATGATATGTTTGAGGTCAGAATTTTCCTAGCCAAATCAGACAGTGCTATTCTTTTCCTCTCAGTTGGATTTTCTTTATATGGGAGACCACTTTACATGTGGGAAATTGTTTACATTCGAGAGAAAATGTATTTAATCAGTGCTTCTATGTATTGATGACTACAATCTGCACTAAGCAGAATTTCCACCCTCGTGAGGAATTTTCCAATTGTCAGTGTTATGAGAGCCAGCAGAGGGCAGTGCTTCATTTTCTGGAGAACCAGAGCCTGGAGATTATGGAACTGTTGCTACGGAAAGATCGAGATGTAGCAACTGGGGAATAGTAGCCCCAAATCATTCACAATCGTTGACATGTTAAAGGGATTGAGCTCAGCCAAAATGTAACATATTGAGAAAAACTAATGATTAAAAATTTGGTTAAAAGTAAAAGGAGTTAGAACAGTCAATTCAAACTGCAGCTGTCTTGCAAATCTCAAAATGATAAACGATAAACATGTGACTTTAAAAATCTTCACAGCCTCAAATATTTTTATTGGTATCTTTTAATTTTTATTTTAAAAAATAGTACAGTAGCATAGTTCAAAAATCAAGGGGTTATACAGTGAAGTCTGTCTCCCTACCCCCCCCCAACCCCAGGCCTCCTGTTTACCTCCATAAAAGCAACCAATCAATGTCAACAAGTCCTTAGGTCTTTCCAAAACCAGTCTAAACATACAGTAACTGTAGCATACAATACAAGGTGTTCTGCACCTTTTACTTTGTCCATCGAAATAGACTTGGATGTCTTGGAAATTATATCTTGGATATTCCATATTGTGTTTATAAAGCTTCCTGGTTTGCTAATAGTTACATAATCCTTTGTCTCATAGCTTATTTGACTGGTCTGTTTACTGGAGCTTTCGATGGCCTTCGGTTTTCTGCTGTTAGAAGCAATGCTCACATTTCATGTGAGCCAGTATACCGAGCGACCTGTTTTTGAGCCATGGGGCGCAGAAAGCATATGTATACATAGAAAATGAGATATTTTTGTTTGTTTCTGACTTTGGAGAATTAAGATAAAAGAGGCCACCTTTTTTTTTTTTTTTTTTTTGACGCCCCAGAAGTGATTACAGTAACTCAGACCATATTTATTTTTCGTGTTCAGCATCCCTAGCACAAGGCTGGGAACCGTGTGAGAATTCAAAATGATTCATTCAGTATCCTGTCAGATGCTATAAAAATACAAAAGAGTTAAGAAAACTACAATAGGGAGTTGTCTCAAACACATAAAATTGTTAAAAAGTAGTCATTATGTGATTAGGCAAGTAATCCAAAAAAAAGTTCAGAGGGTCAGGGAAGGCTAGAATTGAAAAGTTTTTTTAAAGAAGTTGGGACTTGAGCTGGATGGACCTTGATTGGTAATATGTAAAAAAGGGAAACACACACACACACAAAAGAAAGAAAACACGTGAAAATTCCGGGGGTGGGGGGTAAAAAGCAGAATGATAAAGGCAGGAATAAGAATGGACAGTGACACATTTGGGAGGCAATTAGATCAATCTGGCTGGTGTTTGCAATATCTGTTTGGTATTAGGGTGGGGTCGTGTTGTACATTCAGCCTGGCTCCTGTGAGGGCAGCGTGGGGCAGAGACTTGAAGGTTTCCAAGCCAGATAATGACAAAGGCAGACAGCTTTGACCTGGAGTTGGTGTAGATGGAACCTTCTGAAGCAAAGGGCTGTTAAAACCCTACCAGAAGTGAAAACGGCTAACTTACCGCATGTATACTCAATGAAATGCTTTATGGACAATATAATTAAAAAGTAACAGACTCTAGCAACATTAAAAAATACTGGAGTTTTTCCCTATTAGGAAAAGATAGGCTTGTATACAAATACAAAAACCTTGGTGTTCATGTTGGGGGATATATGTGTACTCCCCACCCCCCACCCCCACCCAAACAAATACAATTTAGCAATGGCAAATTTTTTGTCCTTACAATAAAAAAGTAAAAAAAAAAAAAAAAAAATACATGCCTCATATACATTGTCCATTTTGAACCCCCTTGCAAGCCTATGAGATAAAGCAGACGCTGTTACTACCATTTTAGATGAGGAAACAACTCTGAGCGATGATTTGCCCGACGACTCACCTAGTGAGAGAGAAACTGAAACGCAGGTCTTGGCCAGGTAACGTGTTGGAAATAGAACGAAGAACATTCTTCATCCCTGCTTTTAGACAATTTAATCCTATTTCATTGATGTGACCCTTGCTGCATATCCTCAGTTAAGGAGAGTGAGAAGATAAAGTCACATAAGGGTACATTTAAAATGGATATTGAGACTGCTAAACATTCTCTCATTACGTGCTCTGTATGGATAATAATAGTTGCATTCCAGAAATGTCCCAAATGACCATCTGTTGTTTGGAAGGCCGCTGGCCTGCATAACTTCAGTAAAGTAAAAATCAAAGGAAAATGTCCAGGGACTTCTCAAATTCATCCCCAAAAGAACTGCCCATATGGAAGATACTATTCAAACCTGACACCAACTTGTAAAACTTCTATCCTCCCTCCGTCCCTACAAAATGGGACTATTCTCTTTTTTTCTGATCACAGCCTGTTTTCCAACCTCTGTACATCTGCCCTTAATGTGTCACCTATCTGAAAATGCCTCTCTCCTCATCGGCACTTTAAAAAATTGCAGTCATTCTTCAAGGTGCACTTCAAACACCTCTTTCAAGAAATCTTTTATTCTGCCTCTGACCCTTTGCAGCCTCCGGACGCAGTCTTTTTTTTTTTTTTAATTTTTTTTTTCAACGTTTATTTATTTTTGGGACAGAGAGAGACAGAGCATGAACGAGGGAGGGGCAGAGAGAGAGGGAGACACAGAATCAGAAACAGGCTCCAGGCTCTGAGCCATCAGCCCAGAGCCTGACGCGGGGCTCGAACTCACGGACCGCGAGATCGCGACCTGGCTGAAGTCGGACGCTTAACCGACTGCGCCACCCAGGCGCCCCTGGATGCAGTCTTTTATAGAACTTCTATACTGTCTTGTTTTTAAATTCTCTGTGTAGCTCCCCTATGATTCCTAGGAGATTTTTACGTTCATCCAAGAGGAAAGGATCTAATATTTATTAAGCAGTTACTATGTCAGAAGGTGCCAAGAATTTCATTGATTAATACCAGCTAATAGTGATCAAGTTATTTATAGAGCTAAGTACCCTTCTAAGTGCTTTACCTGCATCAACTCATTTAATTTCCACAGCAACGTAGCAGGTACCACTATTATCTCCATTTTGAGATGGGAGAAACAGGTCCAGAGATTTGAATTAATGTAGCCACAAGGTCACAGAGCTAGGATGTGTGAGGGCCTTACTTCAAATCCAGATACCCTACTTCTGGAAGCCCTGGGACTTGCCTTCTTCAAACAGCTTCTATCCATTGAAGAGGCAGGTCTGACTCAATGGGTCTCTGCCTCATTCCCCGAGAGCCTGGATTCTTTACTGTCCTGCCAGCTAGGCACTGAACTCCCTCACTCCCTTCCCTAATTGTTCCAGTGCCTGTCCTCTCCTCCAGCCTCTGTCCTTTTAGTCACTCAATCCTGCTCGTAATCATTAGACCCCCAGAAAGCCTCACTAGTCAGATTCCAACTATCCGGGGAGGAGGCTTGGAGTCCCCAGGCCCAGACCCAATGCTACTTCCTGGATGTACCCTCAAACTGAGAATAAAAAATTAACTCCTGTTTCTGCTGGGAAGCACTTGTACTGCTTGCTACTCTCCCCTAGCAGATTCCTGTTACTATCAGTGATTATCAAAGCTACTAACACTAGAGTTTTTAGCCTGGGATCTAAGGCTATTTTAAAAGCCCGTTTCTAGGGAAGGGCTCCTGGCTAGCTCAGTCTCACATGCGACTTGACTCTTGACTGTAGGGTTGTGAGTTCGAGCCCCATGTTAGGTGTAGAGAATCTTTGTTTTTTTTAATTTTCTTAATGTTTATTTATTTTGAGAGAGAGTGCACAAGAGAGCACGAGTGAGCAGGGGAGGGGCAGAGAGAGAGGGCGACACAGAATCCGAAGCAGGCTCCAGGCTCTGAGCTGTCAGCACAGAGCCCCCCATGGGGCTTGAACCCACGAACTGTGAGATCGTGACCTGAGCCAAAGTCAGACGCTTAACCGACTGAGCCACCCAGGTGCCCCAGATTACCTTTTTTTAAAAAAGCATGTTTCTAGGGAAAGGACCTGAAACTTTCATTAGATTCTAAAATGAATTCAGTGTCCCTCTAAGACCTTTGTAGACCTTCTTTAAAGCATTTTTCTTTTTTGGAAGCCCTACCTTTCATATCAAACACTGAAACATATTGAAATCCCATATTAAATATAAGTTTTTATATAATTACAAAATATTTCATTTGGCTGACATAAAGGTGTATTTTATAGACGTATAATTAAGTATTTATTAATTTTGGCTTTTCAAGTTTCTCTTTTTGTATTCTAGAACTAATACTATTTTTTAAGATCTCGGATTTTTTTGAAGTTTATTTATTGAGAGAGAGAGAGAGAAATCCCAAGCAGGCCTTGCGCTCTCCTGATGCAGGGCTCAAACCCACAAACTGGGAGATCTTGACCTGAGCCTAAACCAAGACTTGGATGCTTAACAAACTGAGCCCCCAGGCACCCAAAGATCTCAAATATTTTTATAGGCCTTTGGTAAGCTCCTGCTTACCAGGTAGTAACATCTCCTGCTCCATAATTTCCTTCTGCCCTTGGTTGCCTAATCCTCTCCCTGCTTCTCACCCTTCCTTTCTCCAACAGCCTTGAGAATCTCTCCATTTGCTCAAGCTAAGGATGAGCCTATAGAGTTCTCTTTGTCTTGGATCCTCCAGCTTTTCTCCTGATCCGGGGAAATCAAGGCCTATCCCTTGAGGGCAAGTGGAATCTCTTAACCTCTCGTGGTCGTGGTCGTGGTAGAGGGGGCAGACACTGACAATGAGTACCTTTCTTCCTACCCTCCCTCCATACTGGGTAGGGCAGAAACCGTGAAATTTGGGAGTGACAGGTTGGGATATGCTGAGCTATGCCACACATTTTTGGGGAATAATTTCCAAATCCAGATCTGATTGTTGTCTGGGCCAACAGTAAAGAACAGAGCCAATAAAGATCTGAGACTAGCATTTCCAAAAGCTGAGAGGTGAAATAAAAAAGGATACTGACTCAAGAAATAATACATTTCCTCCTCCCAATTTTCAAAATAAAATCCGGAAATTATGGAAAGTCAAATGCTTTTAAAAATTGCAGTGAGTAGCAGAGTTTGTAATTCATAAAAGACAAGGACACCAGCAGAGACAAGGGACAGGAACAGGATCCTTAGGAAACCCCCAAATCAAGCAACCCCAATGTTTGTTCACTTCTATACTGGGTGCTCTTTCCTCTCTGAACAATCTACACTTTTCTTGGCTTTCTTCTGGCACTTATTACTGTCTACCTTGTTCTAGCATTGTTTTCATGCAGGTTTGATCTCTAGACTTTCCAAACTGTTAAGTGCCACATGCCTCCGTATACCCCTTAGACACTCGTCTGTTTGCTAAAGGAATAAATGGATAGAAGGCAAAATACCATTACAGTCTAAAATGCAACAGATTTGCACCATGAAGAGGTCACTCACTGACGTAAAGGTATACGTCATTGGTCTTGTACTGGTGCCTACATCAATACAGTTATAGGAACAGAAGGTAGAAATATGTCACTATGTCACGCATGCTTTCTTTTTCTGAAATCTTTCTGAGATTGGGCTGGCCTACCTACTATCTAGATGTCAGGGTTTTACGTTTACAGCAATGTCACGCATACTTGCACATACCCAGAGTTTCCCAAAAATGTTAATTATACTGATACCATGAGGGATTAAGGATAGGAGCATATCCCCATTGACAGGTGGGGTCACCTCCCCTTGAACCTGAACTGACCTGGTGGCTACTTGGACCGAGAGAGTACAGTGGGCGTGGTACTGCATCAGGGGTCGGACATAGCCTTTAAGAGGCCTAGAGATGTCCACCTTGGCTTCTTAGGGCCCTAAACTGTGCCATATAAGGAGTCTGACTACCCCGAGGTACCATGCTGGAAAAGCTGTGAAGAAAAAAAAGAGAAGAAGGGAAGAACAGACCGTAGGGCAGAGGAGACAAGCTGTTCCCAACCTCGGCCACTGGGGTCATCCCGGTCCAGCTAACGCTCCAGACCTTGTGAAGTGGAGAGATGAACCATCTCTCTGTGCCTTATTTGAATTTCGGACTCAGATTTATGAGATATAATAGTAATAAATTGTGATTTTAAGCAACTAGATTTTGGGACACTTCACTAAGCATTAACAGTTCACAACGTGTTAAGCTACTATAACCATTACTTTAATTTATAAATGTATATACATAGATTTCATGAAATAAAGAAATTAATTACATGCTGCATTTTTAAGACACGTCTCATAGGTTCCTTGTGCAAAACTGAAGTGAGCTTAAGCATATATTTTAATACTTTTGAAATGAGTTAATCATATATTTAATATTAAGATTTAGGACTTCCAAATTACTAAGATTTAAAAAAATAGCTGATACTGTGTCACCAGCGGTGACTAATCCAATATGGTATAATTAACAAAAATGACAGATAATTTAAGTTGCAGGGGGGGGAAAAAAATGAAGATCTTTCCTAAGGTTTATACCCACACAAAAATGCAATGCCAATAAATTGACTAAAAATAACAACAAAAAGATACGGTTAGTTCTGTACCTTGGAGCCAAATGACCTGAAAGCATTTGTCAGGGGACCCACATCAAAGCTTTGTACTGATTTGTGGAAGAGTGATAACTCACTGAGCTGTTTCCAGGAGACACAGGTTCTTGGTCTCAGAGTTCCTGAGCTGTTCGCTCACCGTGCCAGAACAGCTGACTTCCCACAGCGTGTGCTTTAGTATCTCAGCAACCGAGGCCCGAAAGCGTGTTTGGAACTTCTTACTAATTAGGACGTAGAGGATGGGGTTCAAACAACTATTGAGGAATGCCAGGCCAGTGGAGAGGGGGATGCCGGCCTGAAGCACATGGTGGAAATAGCTACTGTGGTGGATTGTAAGCTCCCAAATGCTAAACAGGTGATAAGGAGTCCAACAAATCAAAAAGGCCATGACCACAGCGAGGATGGTCCAGAAATGCTTACTGGAGACCAGGATGCTTCGCTTCTTCACCTTGAATATGAGACACAGGTAGCAAATGCTCATTGCTAGCAAGGGGAAGAGGTACCCAACAATAAATTTCACCCAGGTCAGAACATGGTGCCTCACGAAAGTAAGGTCAGGATCATACTCGTGGAAATTGTTATAGCAGAGAGTGTGGTTATTGAACTCCAGAGTGTCCCGGAAGTATAGGGCAGGACCACCCATTAGAGAAGCCAAAAACCAAACGAATGTAATAACTATCAGGGAGTTCTTTAGGGTTCGGTGCCGATGAGATACGACAGGATGGACCAAGTGGATATAGCGGTCCAGACTAATCACCGTCAGGAAAAAAACACTAGCAAACATGTTCAGCTGGGCAATGAAGGAATTGGCCTTGCACAACAAGATGCCAAAGGGCCAGTGGAAATTCATGGCCACGTAGGAGATGTACAGAGGTAGGAAGAGAAGAAAAATGAAATCCGCAATAGCCAGATTGAGGAACCAGAGAGCGGTGACTGTCTTCTTCCACTTGAACCCCGTGAACCAAATGACAGTGGCATTTCCTGGAATACCCAAAATGAATGCTACACAGTATAACACCAGGGAGATCCAGTGAACAACTCCCAGGTGGGCTTTCTCCTCCAAATCAGACTCTGAGGAGTAATATTCCAGGGTATAGGAGTAGTTCTCAAATTCTTCGAATAATGTTTCGTCTAGATCTTCCATGACCTTGTCAAGTGGAGAATGAGGGTATCTCTAGAAGCAAATTTTAAAAGAAAGAAAACAATGTTTAAAAGCAGAGGAAATGTTCAGTGAATAAGGAACGCCAGGCTAAAAATATTGCATCTTATGAACTGGAAAAAGTATATTTTGGGATAAGATTTGTGATTATATTCCAGACGTCCAATCGTGGTGAACCTCAAGTTTTCTCCGATTACTCTCAAAGCTGTAAGAATTTATTTTTGTAAAGTATTCAGTAAATGCCAAATTAAAACGATGCAGGTGTAATTCTTCTCTCCGTAAGACCTATAGGCCTGACTAGAGAGAATCTAACATTCGATAGGCGTATATTAGGTTCTTACTCTGCACGCTTGTTTTATGGAAGGTACAAAAGAAAACAGATGAATACTTACACGGTGATGACTTCAAATCCCTTAGTGGTACCCTGACTTCCCAAGCTATGGACAGAGTTCCAACTGCTTCATCGATCCACCCACCTGGATGTCACAGACTAGTGCTAGAGATTTTAATACCCTATTTTGTATCCATTGATTTTTTTTTTTAATTTTTTTTTTCAACGCTTATTTATTTTTGGGACAGAGAGAGACAGAGCATGAACGGGGGAGGGGCAGAGAGAGAGGGAGACACAGAATCGGAAACAGGCTCCAGGCTCTGAGCCATCAGCCCAGAGCCTGACGCGGGGCTCGAACTCACGGACCGCGAGATCGTGACCTGGCTGAAGTCGGCCGCTTAACCGACTGCGCCACCCAGGCGCCCTCCATTGATGTTTTGATTCTATGTTTATGAATGCAAATATGTCCATAAGAATTATATCAGTATGGAAGGCTTTTCAACCAAAAGGTATCCTTGGGAGTAAACTTGACTATGATCATTTAATTTCTGTATCAATTTCCCATAGAGTGCAGCTAAGCTTTACTTAAAATTTCATTTTATTGAAATTCCTTTGAAGTAATTTGAATGAATGATCTTTTACATTTACAACAAAAATCTGATTTTTATTTAAAGTTTATTTATGTATTTTGAGAGGTCGGAGGGGCAGAGAGAGGGAGAAAGAGAATCCCAAATAGGCTCCGTGCTATCAGCACAGAGTTTGGGTCTCAAACTCACAAACTGTGAGATCATGACCTGAGCTGAGATCAAGAGTCAGAGCCTCAACCAACTGAGCCACCCAGGAGCCCTGAAAAAATCTGATTTATTACTCATTTTATTTTGTTTATGTTTGTCCATACAAAAATGTGTCTATTATAATTTCACCCAAACTTAAGTTCTCTTTCATGACCTTTTCTCCCCCCTCCTATCAAGGGTTAAGAAGATGGAAAAGGCATCTTTTCAATCAGAGTAAAGTTTTGCTGGGTGCGATTTTAACAACCTCAATTTTATTTCTTGTTATTTCTGTCTGTTATATTCAAAATCAAGTAGAAAAAAAGATGAATAGTTGCATTTATTTCATGGAGCTACAATCATGAATGGGGCAAATATATAAGATCTGGGATTACAGTAGGGTTAGAATGAAGAGGTCAAAATGTCCCACGTTGCTCAGAGACATCTCACACTCCTGCTAACGCTGAATTTATCATCCCACCTAAAATTGTCTGAGGAATCTGGCGGCGCATAATTAAAAAATAAAAGCAGGGGCACCTGGGTGGCTCAGTCAGTTGAGCATCTGACTTTGTCTCAGGTCACCATCTCACAGCCCATGGGTTCGAGCCCCGCATCAGGCTCTGTGCTGACAGCTCAGAGCCTGGAGCCTGCTTCAGATTCTGTGTCCCCCTCTCTCTCCGCCCCAACCCTGCTTGTGCTCTGTCTCTCTCTTTCAAAAAAGTGAATAAACATTAAAAAAAAAATTTTTTTTTTTAACTAAAAGCAATTCATTAGCATCCTCCCAGACCCAGCCACCCTTCTTTATTTTTCAATATTCAGCTCAAATGCCACTTTTTCCTAGAAACATTTCTTGACATCACCTTCCCCCAGATAATTATAATAAGAAGAACTATTATTATAAATAATAGTCAATGTTATTGGGAATTGTTTTGGTGCCAGGCATGTATGATATAACTTGATTCTCATAAGACCCTTATAAAGTGGGTAAGTGGTCCTATTACTATTCCCATTTACAAGAAAGGATACTGATGTTCGAAGAAGCTTAGTGAGTTTCTCAGGATCACACAACCAATAACTGGAGAGTCAGGATCTAAATTCAGATCTGTTGAAAACAGAGCCTGAGCTCTTAGCTACTACAACAGTGTATGACACTGTGCTCTTATTGTACTTAATATACTATATTGTCATTGGTTTATCATTGATTTCTGCCCTACCAAACTCTCAATTCCTTGAGAACAATGCCTGTCACCTCTGAACCCCACGGTCCCTAGCACAAGTCTTAACATATCACAGGTGCTTAACAAGGGCTGAAGAAATGATTGGCTCTGCTACAAACCCCGTTCAGAACCAAAGGCAACAGGAGAGCTTGTGAGTTCACCCCCAAGTCACCGTCATCGCCAGAGTCTCTCTGACCTTGAGCACCCCCAGGATCTTGGCTTTTCTCTTGACACCCGGTCTTTTCCTTCATGTACGCTACTTCAGGGAGCAAGAATTGGCTTCTTTCTTGCCGCCCTTTGCTTGCAGGTCTGGGATCTAACTCTGCCCACCGCTTCTGGTCCCTGACCCTCCTCTGTGTCAACTCTTTTCTAGCCTAATGTCTAACTCCCTGTCTTGGTTTTCTGCCTATATACTGGGACACCCTCACCTTCCTGGTGGTTATGACCTTTTAGGCTGTTAGAAATTCTGCAGCCCAAAGGTCCACCCAGGTGGCAGTCTAAATCACCTTACAAAATCCTAAGCAGGAGGCAGAAGGAACCTTATTCTCCAAACACAGAAAGCCAGTGGAAGACCCCTAACTGCACTACAACGATTATGCTCACCAAAAGTCAGAAACCTCTCCCTTCCAATATGATCATAGGACCTGCTAAACGACACCAACCACCTCTTTTCCCAGTTCTCTTGGTGGAGGGGGGCAGCACCTTGCAAATGAGTGCCCTAGCTCGTCCGTTTCAGAATCCCTTCGAACAGAAAACCCTGAGGTTCACAGAGGTTCCCAATCTTCCAGAAAGCAGATGAGTTGACTAGACACAACGCCCAGTTAGTGCAAGCTGGAGAAAGATCTTCAAGGGTTGCTAAATGTTGCCCAGCTGACACCTTCACAGGAAGTATAATCTAGGAATTCCCCGACGATTTAGAGCAGATGTTTTTGTGTGGTGATGATGGTGAGGGGTGTGGGGAGGATGGAGAAAAGAGAGAAGTAAGGCAGAGTTCAGCAACTGTCCCCCTGAGACCTTGGACAGACAGTTAACCCTTAAGGACGTATTCTTGTATAATTCTTTTTTTTTTTTTTTTTGACGTTAATTTATTTTTGAGACAGAGAGAGACAGAGCATGAATGGGGGAGGGTCAGAGAGAGGGAGACACAGAATCTGAAACAGGCTCCAGGCTCTGAGCAGTCAGCGCAGAGCCCGACGCGGGGCTCGAACTCACGGACCGCGAGATCATGACCTGAGACAAAGTCGGCCGCTTAGCCGACTGAGCCACCCAGGCGCCCCAATCTTGTATAATTCTTATACCTTGCTGATATGTGGCTTTAGTTTATAGGCACCTCCGGACCTAATTAAGTTTCCAAGTCTCACACCTACCCACCTATCTAGCAACTATATTAGTTTCGTAGGGTTGACAAGACCAAGTGCTCTAAACTTAAAATCTTAAAATTTTAGGGGCGCCTGGCTGGCTCAGTCGGTTAAGCAGCCAACTCTAGATTTTGGCTCAAGTCATGATCTCACAGTTCGTGAGATCGAGCCCCGCAGCAGGCTCTGCACTGACAGTGCTGAGCCTGCTTGGGATTCTCTTTCTCCCTCTCTCTCTCTATCTGCCCCTCCCATGCTCTCTCTCTCTGTCTCTTAAAATAACTAAATAAACTTTAAAAAAAATCTTAAAATGTTAAAACAAATTTTTTGTCTCACAATCTGGAAGCTGGAAGTCTGAAGTGAGGTGCAGGCAGGGTCGTTTCCTTCTGAGGGAGGTCTGTGAGGGAGAATCTTCCCTAGCTTCTGGTGGTTTGCTGGAAAACTTTGGCATTTCTTGGCTTGTACATGTGACACCCTAACATCTGCCTTCATCACCACATGGTGTTCTCCCTGTGTGAGTCTCTGTGTCCAAATTTCCCCCTTTTATAAGGCCATTGGTCATACCGGATTACGACCTACCCTAATGACCTCGTTTTAACTTGATGACCTCTGTAAACACCCTAATTCCAAATAAGATCACATTGTGAGATACTGGGGGTTAAGATGTCAACATATCTTTTTGGGGCGGCCACAATTCAACCCATAACATTAACCTAGTGCTGGCAGCCACCATTTCTGAATTGTAATCACTCATTCATTCAGTACGTATTTAAAAAAATTTTTTTTAATGTTTATTTTTGAGAGAGAGAGAGAGACAGAGACATGCAGACCATGAGCAGGGGAGGGGCAGAGAAAGAGGGAGACACAGTCTGAAGCAGGCTCCAGGCTCTGAGCTGTCAGCACAGAGCCCCATGTGGGACTCGAACTCATGAACCACAAGATCATTTCAGTACGTGTTTAGTAAGCGCCTCCACTTCTCAGGGACTATTCTAATTAATTTTTTTTTCAACGTTTATTTATTTTTGGGACAGAGAGAGACAGAGCATGAATGGGCGAGGGGCAGAGAGAGAGGGAGACACAGAATCGGAAACAGGCTCCAGGCTCTGAGTCATCAGCCCAGAGCCCGACGCGGGGCTCGAACTCCCGGACCGCGAGATCGTGACCTGGCTGAAGTCGGACGCTTAACCGACTGCGCCACCCAGGCGCCCCTCTCAGGGACTATTCTAGTTAATTGTGCTTCTTCACTACATGAGACAATTATTTCTTCCCTCTTAGTTTTTAGATTCTAGCAGAAGGGGATAGACAATAAAAAAGCAAATGACGTGATGTGTTAAAAGGTGGT